GCTTCATTCGCTCTGGTTTCATTTCAGCCCGGGCCTGTCTGATAAGGCTTGCTTATTTGCATGGATGTAGCTGTTTGTTTGGTCGCATGGAGATGAATTTAGATAAGACTGATAGTGTTTGCTATGGGAAATAAGTGTGTGTGTGTGTGCAGGTAAATGCACTGTAATACTACAAGTGTGCTGCTAGATTGTGTGTGTGTGTGTGTGTGTGTGTGTGTGTGTGTGTGTGTGTGTGTGTGTCCTTCAGTTAAGAAAGATAATGAAGGGGATGCTGCATGGATAGTAAAGCTATGTCATAAAAATGATCCTCCTTTAAAATCTATAATAAAACCACACAGTGTCTTGTGAAAAAGAGCAGATACTTTTCATTACTCATACTTTTTTTTTTTAAATATTTCTGACCATTAACTGTGTATCAGCTGTTATATGGTGCTGAGAGAAAAGCACTGACATCCATTTGTATGGGCATGTCAATAATGTGCTGCCATGCCTGTTGATGTGTCATTAGTAGATGGCTGTTGCTCAGAGCCCAATCAGCAACAATACACCAAGTGCTAGATGATATCGGAAAGCTGTCACAGCGAGCGTAATGGAAATATATAGCCCGCTCTGAGAACATGGAGGGAGGATTTTCTACATCTCCCGCTCTCTCTTTCGCCTCTCCCTCGTCCTGTCACTCTGTGTCTCTGTTCGTCTCTTTGTCACTCTCCCTTCTGTCTGGAAATTGCGCTTTTCCCTATCTAAAGCTTTGGCAGTGCAGCGGATTGGACTGACAAAGCTTTATTGTCCGTTTAAGGCTGCAGAGACAGAACAGGTCAGCGACAGCAAAACAATAGTTTCAGCCTCCGTCCCTGTGGTTATCATATCCGTGGTTTATCTCTAGCATTTTGTGTGCATGTGACTGGTTTGCTTCATTATTTCTGCCTCCTTGTCCTTGTGTTTTAAATCTGAAAATGTGGGCATTCTCATCCTTTTGAAGGCATAATCCAAATGTTGGTAGCCAGATGTTGACAAACAATGTCACCGTAAGGTCCACTCAGTAGCTCTTCTGGAGCTTTTTGCTTGTGTCACATTATCTTCATCAGTAGATGGAGCTACCCAGTAGTCATGGATGTTTGCATGCCCATTGTTCTGAGCACTTCAGGGTTCATTGTTGAAAAAGCAGTTGACAAAACAATCTTTCGACAATGTCCTCTCAGTTGTTCTGGAGCTTACAATTCTACCTCACATTTTTCTCATAGGAATGAAAACTGCTGTCACTCCTGAACAGGTCTTTTTAATACATTGAACAGACAAATCTCAGGAGTTGCGAGATGATTATAAGAATAGAAAAGACGTTTTAGTTTCCTTTCTTTTTTTCCCTTTTGAATTACTGGATAATTTTACCTCCTCAGGCCACCAATTATTCAAATACATTAATCTGATTGTGGTTTCACTCCAAACAGGCAGGAGCACATCGTTTGAAACGGGTAGTGTTTTCAGAATGAAGTGCACCATGTTACCCTCTCCAGTAGCAAAGTAGAAATCTACATTGGATTATAAACAATAATAATACACATTTTCTGACTTGGTATTTTCTTTAACCACAGCCTGGTGGAAACTAAGCGTAGAGTTAGGTTACTTTTTACATTGCATCCTCATAGCTCCTGTCTCTCCGTCTGTGCCAGAATCCCATTGTCCATGTGTTGTGGAGGTCAGTGTATTTGGATTCAAAATTCAATTTAGTTAAGCTTTGGCTGCAAAACTGGGCGGAAAATCATGGGAGTGTGCACTGCTATGGCTAACGCAGTTGTCTGGGAGAATGCCTTATCTACTGGAAAGAATGGCCTTGCTCTGTGCAGTGTTTGAATTTGTGTGTTTGGTGTGAAAGCTCAGAGAGAGGGAAGAAATATGCAACCAGTCAGACGGGTTACAAATAGGTATTGCTTGATTTTAAGGAGTCGCAAGCCAAAAGGCTTTGAAGCTGTGCTTTAACATCCTTTTTAGATGTTTCATAAAGGTTCATTTATGTCAGTCAAGTTTGTAAAAACAGGAATCAAAATGGGCCTGTTTAATCATTTATAACCAAAAATCCAAAATGTGTATTCATCTATAGTTGAAACTCTTCAATAACCTAATAAAATAATAACTACTTCTGGGTCTAAGATTTAACCACAGTCCTAAATCAATCTGCTACAAATATTATCTGCCAGTAACCACAGCATAATTCACCATGCTTCATACTATAATGTTGTATTATGTTGAGTAAGCACCAAGAAACAGCAAATAAATATGTGATTGTAACATGGTCAAAATGAATTACCTGTTGGGTCCTTTTTCCAGGTACTATTGCATTTAAACTTTTAGTAGGATGTCCTATTCTCCAGACATTGCATTGCTATTCCACACTAAATACTGTCAGTACCAAACTGTGGCTGAGTGCACTGCATTTGTGGTGGTTTGGGACTTGGCAGGAGTATCTTACACTCTGATGAAGACAGTATATACAGTAGATTAGATAAAATGAAACTTAAATGAACCCTGGGGGAAAGTGGAAAATAGTAATATAGTAGAATGTCCACACAGGATCAGAGCAAATGGAGTTTATTATAACATAATGCGACCAACAATTACACCAGTAAACTGTGATGAATGTGAATTACAGTGTGCACGAGTGTATGATTATTGTGCTTACAGTACAGCAGGCCTGCAATCAGACCTGCTCTGGAAGGTTCCACTCTGCCATCAGTGGAGGGGTGTGCGGTCCAGGGGGGAAAACAGATGGATCTGATTGGCTGAGAAGGAGGGAAAGCTCTCCAGCACGTTTGTGGTGTTTTTGCTGCTATATCACGTGTTGGTGTGTCTTCATATAGGGGCTCTCTCTCCCTCTAGTTATTCATACATACAGTATCTCTTATCTCACTCACTCACTGCTCACAGGGGTAAATGAAAGGAAGGAGAGTGAGGGAGGGAAAGCCGGGCTCTGGGGAGAAAATGAGTAAGAAAAGGCTTGAGATGACATCTGAGCAGCAGATTGTGGTCATGGTGTTTGGAATTTTATCTTGGAAGTTTGAGTGCATTTGAGGCAGGAAATGTGAGGGAATTTGATGAAGTAATAGCAGGAGAAGGTGGGAAATATCAAGGACATATCTGTATTTTGAAGCATGACGGAAAATATTTTCAACTGTTGATAACATGATGAGGTGAGCTCATGTTTAAATAGAAACTTTACAATCAGTGCCAGTTTATTTCATGATTCCTTTAGTTCCTCTACCTCCTTGTCCTACTGTCTCCCCTTGCTTTTGTTCATCCTCTCCCTCCTTTTTCTCCCCCTCACAATGTTACATCCCATAGTGTTAAATTTCAGCCCTTACGCAAAATGTAGGTTTTGCTCTTGGACAAACACCAGCAACAACATAGCCTCACACACATGCCCTTCCTTTCCTTCCTCTATTTTCAAGTATATATGAACATATACTGATTTTTTCCCTTTAGGACCCACTTGTGCACTCTCTATCGTTTCTTTCTTCTCCCCAATTATGGCTATCCATCACGTCTCTCTGTCCTTCATGGGGGTCCCTCTGCCCAGTTTTCCAGTCATTACTGTGCTGTTTTCACCCAGAGCTGCAGGACCCTAGGGACCACCAACAACGTTCTTATCCTGACAGGGGCCCCTGGAGAACCAGAAAATGGCCATAGTTCCTCTAAACATGAAAGCCTCCCAAGTTCAAAGTAACCTTTTAGTACATATACTTTTCTCTGAGTCATGTCGGACACTTCAGTGTTCCTGAATTTGGAGTGATTTGTTTGGATTTTCCCAATGTTACTTAATGTTGGGTTTTTTTACTATTACCTTTTACATGTGTTGAGAAATGCAAAAAAAAAGGTATTTACAGATACATTACCAGAAAGGTGCAAATGAATGTGTCTCTGAACCACATACAGTAATTGTGGCCTCATTTACACTTGTCACGTGTGCAGATAAAATCCAGATATAATTGAATTCACTTTCATTTACACTAAGCGACACATACAACATTGCAGTTTTTGTGGGCTTCATACAAACCAGGATAAGTCTCAGTCCATCTTCACTCTCAGATGCATTTACTTTTGACCTTTTTGTCAAGAGTAAATGTAAATGGGGTTATCAGTGAACGGTGTTTAAACAAATTTATTTAATTCATTCAAATTCATTTAAAAAAACTTAAATATCTTGAGAGGAGAGACATTGTAGTATGTGCTCATAGTTAAATGGCAGAAATCAAAGAAGTCAACATTACATTACTGCTGCTGAATAGGTTGATTGGCCAGTTGAATGGAACCCGACAGGCTCAATCAGTGAGTGTAGAGTAAAGTGTTGGACCAAAAAGGCACAGAGGGTTTGTGGAAAACAGTTTGCTTTCTGCTGTTGCTTCCATTTCACAGATGGGAAGCTATAGATTTTCCTTGACAGCTCTCACAAACCTGACACGCTTTTGGAATTTGTACATGCAGGATGATATACTGACTGAGACATGCCTTTGTATGTGTAGCAGAAGTATCTGCACAGACTGTAGCTTTCCATCTTGAATTTCACCTTGTGTCAATATTCCGAATAAATAAAACTAACTGCTTTTTCCTCCTCCTTCTTCTCTTCCCTTATTTCAATCCTTTCACCCACGTTTGCCCTACTTCTAACTCACCACCTTCTTATTTTCTATGCTATTAATGGCCACCAACTCCATATTCCTCTTTTTATCCTATCATTTCGTTAAACCTTCTTCCATCTCCTCTTTCTAATTCTTTCATTGCATCCGTCACCTACTTTTCTTCTTTACCTTTGACCTTCTTTGGTCGCTCACCGCGTCCCTCCATTCTTCTTCTGTCATGTTTTTTCCCTCTCTTTGCTTTCCTCACTCCATCGCCCTTCTGCCCACTCTTCATCAATCCCATAATACTTTCATCCACTCCCACCCCTTCTCTCGTCCCTTTTCCCTTCACCCTTCACACTGTCGATCTTTCTTTCCTTCATTCTACCATAGAACCATGAGAGGGAAACAGCCCTTCACTGTGCAGCCCAGTATGGACACACTGAAGTGGTCTCAGAGCTGCTTCAGGAGCTGACCGACCCCACCATGAGAAACAGCCAACAGGAGACGCCCCTGGACCTGGCAGCACTGTACGGACGGCTGCAGGTCAGTGAAAAGGACATATATCAGTTTTATGACAGAGAATGTTTAGTTTAATATTGTGTGTATTTTACATTACAAACGCCAGGAGTTGAGTGCTGCTTTCAGTTTGAATTTCTCAACATTTTAATGGTATTATAATTGCTAAAATACAAAAGACCTAATCTGTAGTAGTCCAGAGACCAGATGCATGCTGTTTTGCTCCGTAATAAAGTTTTTAAAGGTAGTTTGTCCCCTATTTTGACAAAATTTAAGGTACAGAAGCATTTATTCAGCATGTACTAGGTTTGATAGTAGACTGCCGATTACTGTTAAGAATATGGCACTGTCATAGTTTGGTAATCTGATGCAAATGATTAGGAAGGTGATTTCAAAAGCAAGTGTAAAAAGTATTATTGGAGTATTGTTGGTGTTTGTCAGTTGAAGTTGTCCGGATTACATCTCTTACAATACTGACCAACCGAGGTGTGACTTCATCTTTAACTTAAGTATGTCTTGCAGCCAGGAGAAAGTTAATTAAGACTTTAATTTAAGATACATAAAACATATGATCTAAATATAAAAAAAAAATAGGCTGACATAAAATACAATGTGTATAATGTGACAACATAACATTGAACCTGGAGTCCATCCAGCCTTCAGTTAAGTTAATCAATTAAAACAGCATCCCCATCACCAGCATTAAAGGACCGGTGTGTAGGATTTTTAGCAGTGTAGTAGCATATTGCAGCTCCCTCGCTTGACCCTCCCCTCCCAAGCATGAAGGAGAAACCATGGTGGCCTTGAAAAACAGGAAGGGCCCCATCGAGAGCCTGTGTTTGATTTGTCCGCTGTGGGCTACTGAAACATGGCAGCTTTGATGGAAGCTGACTACAGCGTCTGTAGATATTAGCTTCTTATTCTAAGGAAATACAACAATTCTACACTATTATACACCAATGAAAACATACCTATGAATATTCCATTTCTGCCAGTAGCACCTTCCTAAATGTTACAAACTGGACTTGCAACTCCTCAGTTTTTATTTGAAAGACTCCTCCTCAGCTACATTGGGATTTAACAGTTTGATGGCAAGAGAGATAAAGGAATATCTTACCCTGACCTTTCGATATATCCAGAGGGCAGAATCTCAAATCTCCAGATTTGAGCTTCAGAGGATTGATTCAAGCCTTGGAAATTAATGAGAATGGCCTACAAACGTCTGCTATACATTGCTGCAAGGGCAACTTACCACATAGAACATTTAATTTGAAATTAAAATTTAATTGCAAGTCCAAAAAAACAGTTAGCAGTGCTTGTCACTTGGCTCCATCAAGCAAACTGACAGTGTAGACAGGGTAGGAAAGCTGGTGAGGAGTCATGTTTTTCTTTGTTACTTATACTGGTTGGGAGGGTGGGATCTTTGGGAGGCATATATGAACCTCTACATGTATCCTGGTGAAGCTCCTTACTGCAAGGTAAAAGGAGGCAGCTGGTGACTCAATCTGCACCTTCCCCAGGACAAGAGTGGGTGTTAGCAGTGACGAGGACCACAGTGCATGGGAATCAGCTGGGAGTCGCTGTTGATAATTTTAAATATGGTAGATGCATGATGAAAAGAAAACTTCCTGAAATACTTAAGGTGCTAGACAGGCTAGGAGGCAGGTATACATTTTTAGAACTGCGACTTCACTCTTTTGTCACAAATGCGACAAAGTACACTCGCACATAAGTGCGCATTCACACTGAGAGGTGTATGCCACAAATTCCTGCTGATGTTCAAATGTAATGACACATTTCTCTCTGCTAAAGTAGTGAGTAATTGCAGTCAAGCCATACAGGTTTGTCTGAGTGTGAATGAATAATTTATAAAGGCAGCAGTATTTCTCGCTCTCTCTCCCTCTCTGCATGCTAATGAAGGGAAATCCCTACAGTGGAAGCTACTGCTGCATGGAGATGTAACTAACACAGGGCAAAAGTTTACTATATACACACATGCAGTACACACACAAAGACACACATTAAAGTAGGAAGCTTTCAAGAGATCTATATGTTGTCGAACTGAGTTATTAAAAGCACCATCCGTGATCCAACAGGAGGGTAGCTCCACTAACAAAACTCAAAACGACCTCCTACTACGCTCAAGTTTATTGACATTTCTTTTTACTGAAGGACTTGCACTGCAAAGCCCTAAAGTATATTTCAATTTGTGAGTGGTTAAAAAAAACAAAGTACATTTTTCCTCTTGTATTTTTGGTTTTGTAAAGGCTCAAAACAGACACCAAACTCTTTACTCAGATAGTCCTTTTCATCCAACACAATTCAGTCTGCTGAGTGAAAAAATTAAAAGCCTTATGGACTGGTGAAGCTTCTGTCATGGTGACATTGGGGGACTATTTCTGTGTCTGCTTTAATTGAGTTCTCTGAACGTTGCTTCTCTTTGATTCGCAGGGGCAACGAACATTTACCTTTTCTCTGAAAAACTTTCTTTACTGTGATTTTTCTTTTCCTTTTTTTTAAAGGTACAAAAAGATGACTTATGGCACAGTTTCTTCAAAATGTGCTGTTTTGTCCCTGACTGGCTGTGTTTTTGTGCACAGGTGGTGCGCATGTTGGTGAGCGCTCACCCTAACCTCATGACCAGCCACACTCGCAAACACACTCCGCTTCACCTGGCTGCACGCAACGGACACCACAGCACCGTCCAGACCCTGCTCGAGGCCGGCATGGACGTCAACTGTGTGGTAAGAAAAAATGAACAACCTTTAGTTGTTGGTGTCCTTTATAGGCACCCATGGATTTAACAGATTTCTGGCACAGATTATAGGAGCCTTATGGACAAAAATTATAATGAAATAACAAGAATATTGCTTTTAAGTTTGCTTTTTTGGCTTAGGGCAAATTTTCTTTTTGAGAGAACAATGGATTTTAAAAACTCTCAGTAATGTCTGTTTGCATTGTTACTAACGCTAATCCACTGTCAGCTGTTTCTTTTTAAAATGGACAGCTGGAAGGTGTGTACTTAACAGGAAGTGGTTGTCGGATTAAGTTCTCGAATCAAGATTTATGGATTATCATGATTAATGTTGTCAGTAAACTCTTTGCTTGTGAGTTGTACAGATCATAACATCAACAACACTTGATTATTGTACTCCAGCTAAAAGGAATCATTTGTAATATTATATTTTGTGGTGAAATGTCTCTTTTAAAGGTAGGCTACATATGTACATATTTACAGATACAGAAACAAGATAAACATTTTTTTGGTCTATAGATTTAAGTTCTTAAGCAGAATCGAGTAATAAAGTGGGTCTAGACGTTTTATTTGCGTTATCTGATGCTGCTGCGAGTGGAGAAGGTGACTAGAAAGATATCTCTTTGTCCTTTTTGTCTAAGAAAATCTTTCCAATCTCTAAGACTCTGAATCTCCTTCCTCCTCTCATCTCTGCTGTATGTGAATATTTTAGAAGCTGCTGTCTTGTGATTTTAATGAAAGAGGGTTCAGCTTTGTTTTTTGTGTATATAATCCACCACAGGCATAAATGCTTGGCAGATTCTACTTTTGAAGTGTGTATGTCTGCCTCCATTCTTGTGTTTGTGTGTGTGTAGCAGAGAGCTTATATATGCAGTGCGTGCCTCCCATGGTGTGGTGGTGGAGAGGGATGAATAATTGATTGGTAGAAAAGATTGAGAGAACAGGAGCAGGAGGAAGAAGAGGAGGGAGGAAGAGGACAGGGTGTTCCTGAGAGGTCCTGAGAGTTCACCATCTCCTCTTTATACACAATATATGTTCAAGGAAATAGAAATACAGAGTCGCTTACAGTCTTTCTGTCATGCTGTTTGGAGTGCTCTTGTCTTCGTTCATTTACATTTTGTCTTATTGTATATTCTGAGTTGTCCGGACAGTTCAAACACAGCTTTGTCCCGAACCTTTCTGGGCCATTTATTTTTGTGAAGCCTTGTCAAAATGCAGCCATGCTTTGCTGCTTTCTTCGAAATGGTTTTCTTTCTCTTGAGACAATTTTCTCTGGCAAACTGAACAATTTGACTTTGCTCACTTGTCTTCAATGTGAAGTGAAGGAGAACAGCCCTTTGCTCTACTAATCAGTCTCTTAAGACTGTTTGATAATGTGATCGGAATGATTGTACTATTCCCAGACAGTTTTTATGTTGGTGCTGTTTAATGAAAACACTCAAGAAATCAATGTGTGTGTCTTTTCAAGCTCTCATTGGATAATATAATTTTCTGTCACAAACTTGTCTCTTAGGTGCTCCAACTATAAATATTCTGTGCTGGCTCAAGGGTTTGGGTCTCAGATTTTAACACATTGTGTGGGACTTACACATGGTGGCAAAAGTTGTGCAATCTGCACTGGGCTGAAGTTAGTTATTCATTTAATCCTCAGTCTTTACAAACACTGTAATCACGGCTAATCACATTTTCACTCCTAAGCATTTTAATCTCTAGTGTTTGCTCTGTATTAAAAATCAGATTTGATTCACTCGCTCTTAGTCAGTTTATATAATTTCATATTTCATTTCATAATAATTTCACACTTCCCTTTAATGATATTGTGTTTTTGAGCACAAAAGGATCTTTGGTATTTGCTTCATGAGTACAAACCCCTTCACAGCCTTCAGCCTTTAATCAAGACTCAGTCTATAACCGTGAGGCTGCAGTTATGTGTGGCGGTGCCTAGAGTTAATGTTGGAATGCTAACATAATCAAAATGACATTGCTAACATGCTGATTCAAAGCAGGTATAATATTTACCATATTAGTTAGCTTGCCTGCTAACATTTGCTCATAAGGACTAGAGTTAGTACAGCTGAGGCTGATGGGAATGTCATTTGCTTTGCAGATATTTGGTCATGAACCAAAATTTTAATTTGATCTGATGATGTTGCTGGAAAGTAAGAGAAGGGATGCATCCTCTGAGCAGAATGAAAGTCTGTAAATTCAATGGCAACCATTCAATAGTTGAGATATGTCAGTCTGGACAAAAGTGGTGGACAGACTGACCGACATTGCCATCCCTAGAGCCACGCCGCCAGCACCGCCATCAGTATGCACTGTTGTCTCATTTATTTGCACTTTGAGCACAGTTTTGTTATATTTATTGTCAAATGTGAGCAGCTGTTTCACTGAAACTTACATTTGTAGTAAACAAACCTCCAGGAGTCATATGTCTCCTCCAGTGCAATAAATAACACAAACCTTGTTACATGAGCAGTGTATGCAGTTATCTGTGAATCTGTGGGGTACTTTCTTATGATTTCAAAATTATTGCTTGAATGTCTGTAGGGGGTCCTTGTTTCACACTGTTATTCTTTACTCCAGTCAGTGCTGTTAGGTGATCATGACGGATTGAGGGAAAACCAGCTGCAAGGGTTTCAGGGCTCAGTTAGACTCAAAGCCTCAAGAAGCTGTTGAGTCTGAATGAAGAAACAAGACAGTTCAGATGCTGAGGAGCCGCAGCTGCAGGGAGCAATCAATATCAGAGTTTGCTCAACACACATCAGAATAAAGAAATCCTATAAAGTTTTGAACCTAATAGTTACATTACAGACAATTGATGAATCTGAGACTATAAGTTAACTTCTCCTGTTGTCAAAATCTGATCTGACTCAATGTTCATTTGCTACAAAGACATATGGAGTAACAGATGCTACATTTTCCCTTCCCCCCCCCCCGGCAGTGTAAATACAGTTTATATGCAATATGTGAAGCATGTAAAATGTCTTAATGCTGAGTAGGGTCTGTGATTGCAAGAAAACACTTTGTGTCACGTCGTGCCCCTGACTTCTAGAATATGTTCAAATCTGTCACAAACATATTTCAACTGCAGTTTTTACCCATTTTGGTGGGTTTGGACATGTGTGTTTGTGTGGATTTCATCTCTGGAAAGATAGAGAGAACTTGACCTGTTGGATATAGGTTTCATTCTGGTGCTCTCACAGCGAGGAGGCACATGACTCAGCGGCATTTCGCCCATCTTCTCTGCCTTCTGTCCTTGTTGCAGGCTGTGTGTGTATGTGTGTGCATGCATGCTCTGATCTGAAGAGGAGGGCTGTGTTTCTCTGCAGGGATTTGGCCTCGGGCTCCATGTGTCTAGTGAAGATGAACACTACACGCCTTTGATTTGCCTCGTCCTCTCTATACACACTGCTGCAAATCTCTGACTCTCTCACTCTCTCTCTCCCTCTTTGTGTCTCTCTAGCTAGTGATGATGAGCACTGCAAGTCTTTCATACCTCAAATCTTCTCTGCAATTTACCCTTGACTCTTGTGCTGCTCCATCTCCATTTGGCTGAAAATAATGCACAGCAACAGCACCATCTTTCCCTTATTTCTCCATTAGAGACACAGTAAGGCCTAACATGAATCTATTGCACACCTGGCCAACAAAATTGCCCTTTGGGTGGGTTAAACTCATTGGACAATTTGAGTGAGATAATGCACGCCATCTCACCTGGCTTCAATAACGAGGTCATTTTTGATATATCCCTGTTATGTGTTGAACATGTACACATCATATCCTGGTTTCAGAAAAATCAAAGATCTCTATGTGCAGTTAATGTTCAGCTATATTACCATTAGCTACAGTTTTTAAACAGGCAGCTTTAATGGTTTCTCTGAAGAGAAAAGGCTTTGTTTGTGATGAGATGTAGATGAGATTTCATGTTCTCATTATAAGATGATTTAGGAGTCCACTTTTTAGTAAAAGTCCTTCATTAGTGACAAGGTGTCCTTGATGATTATGGAGTTGTGTTAGAAAGACAGAGCTTGAAGAGGAGATGAAAATTATTATATACACTTAGTCCAATAATTTACATAACTGTTTAAATAACTATGGTGAAAGAGACTGAAAGAAAGAAACTGGGACACGCAGGCAATGTGTTCAGGTGCGTTTTCAGTTAGTCAATAAGACAAGAAACATGATGGTAAACCATGTAATGATGGTTTACATGCTGAAATGAAAGTCTGACACTTTTAAGCAATTAAGCAGTCTGGTAACTACACAACAAACTACCACGTGGATAAGGTTAAAAAGTTATACTAGTGCATGTGTGAATAAACTCAGTGATGACCAGAGATTAACCTGTGACATAATTCTCATATGAATGAGGCAAAATGCAGATTGGACATCAATATACCAAAGTCTTCTTCTCTCTTTGGACTTAGAGTAACACGGCAGTCTTCGATTTGTCCTCTTTTTCCCATTTCCCTCCTCTCTTTTTCGCTGTCTCTTTTTCGATATATCGCTCTCTCTTCCTCTGAGGTAAGGCTGCAGTGTTGGAGCTATACTGTTGACAGTAAAGGGTGGATGCTGTGGGCAACTCACAGATGGCCACCTTGTAGATTGTCACGATGGAGAGAGAGAGAGAGAGAGAGAGAGAGAGAGAGAGAGAGAGAGAGAGCAGGTCAGTAATTGGAGTCAAGCCATATAGGTCTGTCTGAGTGTGAATGAATAATTTATAGAAGCAGCACTGTCACTATCTCTCTTTTCTCTTGCTATGTCTCTTTCCCTCTCTGACTGTTTCCATAATAATGAGGGGAAACCCCTATGGAAGAACCTGCTGCCGCATGGGCAAGTAGCCAACCAAAGGGCAAAAGTTTAGTATAAACTCACACATACACACATAAACTCACTAGACTGGAGTGGACTTGAGCATTTACGTTCATCCCTGCATCCCAACTTCAGCAGCAACGGCAACATTTCTGCCAGCAGCCCCGAAACAGAAAGTCATCCGCCTTTCAATTCCCGGAAACACTTAGAGAGTGAGAATCGCCGTCCTCGTTTCCTCATGACATCACTGCGCGATCGCCATGGGAAGTGGGACGGGAAGTGGTATAGAGATGACCGGCAGAGGGAGGGGGAGGTTAGGAGGGCAAGCGGTGTGTGTATGAGGAAAAGGGGGTGGATCATTTCCTGCGCTCCTACCTCCTCCCACTTGCTTGTGGGTAAAAGATTGTCTCCTCAGGCTAAACGTCCACAGTTTGATGCAATCAGTGAAGGTCTGATGATCTGTTTTCACTTGGGATTAACACCTATAATATTCTCCTAAGAAAACTAGACAATTGACCTTTGACCTTTTTGAGGACATACTCTAGGAGTGGCTGCAATTTGGCGTATTGTTCGATGACAGTTTTATTGCAAAGGGAAGCAGAACAGCTACAGTAAGTTTAGTATTCCCTGCAGAGGACGAGCATGTTGATCTGGTGCAGTGTCGTGTTGAGTTGAATTTCCCGGCCGCGTATCAGCAGACCTGGCTGTCGTCCAGATAATTTGTCTTCATTAAGGCGGGGAGTTTGGTTCAATCCAGGTTTTCATCTGTGTTGCAGGGAAGCCAACCGTGAAGGATGCGACGGATTCAGCATATGTATGTTGCTGCGTGTGTGTGTAAGAGAGAGAGAGAGAGAGAGAGAGAGAGAGAAAGAGAGAGAGATTTTTTAAAATCATGGCTGCATGTATGCGTTAGTGTGTGTTATTCAAGTCTTAAGTGTCCCTGATGGGTATTTTAGCTTCAAGCAAGGTGTACAAGGTAGTTTGTTCAGTATATAATAGAGACAATAAAGAAACATAATGTCCCACAAAGCTTTAGAGCAGCAACTGTGTGAAAAGCAGAATAGGCCGTAAGGTGAAGTAAGAAAAGGTATCTAAAAAAATATTTGTGTTCCCACTCCTATGCACTGCTTTTTAAATGTGTTCTTTTTATAGACAACACCCTTATGAACATCGTGTTAAAAGTTCTCTGCAAAATATCCAGCAGTTTTTTTTGTCACTATCCATAAATTTATATAACTTCATTTATATTCAAACAACGAACAAACAACAACAAAAAGTATCACTCAAACTGACATTGATACCTAAAAACGTGAGACAAAGATGCATTAGGATACTTAAGTGTGATTTAAGACCATGAAATGGCAAATGGATATAAAATACACTAAACATTTAACCTTTAAATACATTGCAAAACACTGAGTTATACATCAAGATTTTCAACAGCCACTGTGTACTCAGAGGAAGAAAAGAAAAAGCACACTCCCAAGATGGCTGAAATTAATCAAAATGCTACCCTGGTACACTGGTAAGCAGTCAGACCAAGGTAGGTGTCTGCCTCCGACCCTTAGACACAAGATAAACAATGTCTTGACAAACAGATATCACTTTTAGGTTTAGGTAATATCAACACAGCGAGCCAGTGTTGGTTCCTCAGTTGCACCTATAATCCAGGAAATCAGATTGTACCAAGAGAGTCGCATAAAAACATGTTTAATATCAGTTCTGCACTATAAAGTGTCCTTGTGTCCTCTGTAGCATAGATGGAGGGTCCTGAAGTTGGTCTTTGCAGACCAGCTGTTGTAGCTGGGGTCCTTTTACTGTCACTTTCCGACTCGTTTCTGTGCCTGATGGATGAGGTAGCCTGTATATCAGCCTATCTGCAGACAACAAAAACTCCACAGAAACCATTTCACACATGTTGCTTCTGTTGGTGGAGTGAAACACAATCTGGGGGAAATAGTGGGTCAATCTCCTTCAATTTATCCTGCCTGTAACATAAAAATACAGCAACAGATTACAGGGGTATAAATAAATTATATATTTACACTGAAAACCAGTTTACACTATCAGCTTCTACACCTTGTAAAATATAAAATACTGTAACCATGTGCAACAAGAATCCTTGTGTTTGTCTCTGGCCTTTTTAAATATAAGGAACGGGGGGGTATTTTATTACCCTAATGGGCAAAACTGTGCCTCTTTATTACGCTGTTGGTTTGATCCATATAGTATGTAAATCAATTTATAAGTCAAACTATTATAGTCATAATTACTTGCTCCAGAAGGCTCCATACACTGTTTAGCCTAGTTATCATTTGTATAAATGATTTTCCATCATAGGCCTCTACACGTTAATAATGCAATTATTAAAACACAATGGTCATTATGTTTCAATAGTGGTGCCTCCTTCAAGTCTGCAGACTTGACTGTACTTGTAGCTGTGTGCAAAACAATGTTTATCTGACTCTGACTGTAGGATAAATATTGAATAAATGATGGAATTGTTCTTAAAAGTTAACCATGGTACCCAGCAGCATTTAGAAAACTTAACTTTCTTTCTATGTGGATTTAAGATGTGTAGAGGATTGTTTATAATCCCATTTACGCACTTTTAAAGAAGGTTTGACTGTAATTTCCTCCTCTTCGCTGCCTTATGTTGACAGGAAGGGCGCAAACATCTTGGATTCTTGTTTACATGTTGTTCCAAATGCGGCCACCTGATGAGTCCAGAGGGAAGAAAGTGACGATTGTTCCGCAAAGCCTCATCATTCATGATCAAAATCTGACTATGTGAGGAGAGAACTATTGCCGACTTTAAACATGAATAACAAAATAACTGCAGGATGACACAGGATGAAAGCACTGTTCTTTGTGAACACACAAAACTACCCAAATGTACACTGAGCGTTACTCACTAAAACATATTGTGTGCATCATTGAGGTTTGCATGTATTTCCATTCTCATAAAATATTCTCAAAGCCAATTTCTAGAAAATTTACTCTGTAGCTTTTTCTTCACTGCCTTTGCTGACGCATTGCTACGTTTGTTGGTTCGTTACTAACACAATTGGAGCCACAAGAGCAGACAAAACAGGGACCCACTCATAAAAACATCGCTCCTAATTGCCCATTAGTGGTCAAAAACCTAAGGCATATCACACAATAAAGAAACAAGACCGAAAGACAAACATATTTCAAACAAACTCCTTTGTTATGTCTGATTAAGAACAAAAAGGCATTATGTGTAGTATTTGAAAATGTATGACTTTGCGTCGCCAAAGGACTATATGGCAGATTATATGTTTCATTTTTCACATAAACCTTTCTACACTTGGTGGCTAAACAGCTGTTCCTTTTTCTTCTTGTGGCTCCTGAGTGTTGCTCTGTTAAAAGTGGGCTTGTCAGAGTAATCGTCTCTCTCATCACCGCTGATCCAAGATGAAGCACTTACCAGCGCCCTCCCCTCGCTGGTTTCCATGTGTTGCATCACATCTGTAATATCCCCATTAGAAGCACTGGAGGCTGATACAGGCCGGCGTATGGTGAGGGAAATTGGGACGTTTCCACACAGGCTCCCTCTGCTTGTGTAATGGTTTGAAATCGGTGTGGCCTCGCGCTCTTTGCAGGCGAGGGAATGCGACTTTGTATTAATCTAGCTGAATCTCTTTTGTTTAACTGCCAGAGAAAAAGAGAGATTGTATCAAATCAAAATATTGTCTCCTTGCTCCCTTTTAATCCTTGAGCTCTTTTTTTCTTTTTACGCTCCCAATCCACTTCTGTTTTTGATGTCTATTTTAGTCTCTGTTTTCAATCGTTCAAGCGATGGAATATTAACACACACTCTCCCTTGTCTCTCTCTCCAGACCGAAAATGGCAGTGCCCTCCATGAGGCAGCTCTCTTTGGGAAGATGGATGTAGTTCGCCTTCTGCTTCACTCAGGTGGGTCTATAAATGTATCCTGGAAAAACAAAAACCGTGTGACTGTTTGCTTCCCTTGTTTTCCCTTCTTATTTTAACCTGCAGCTGAATTTTTCTTCCAGATTGTGGATTGAATTTGTCCTCAGGTGAACTCCAGGCATCTGTCTGCTGTTTTAAAATCCTTCAGCTTTGTTATTGTCTTGGCCATTTTGTTCAGTTGTATCAAGGTGCTGAAAGTTTCACAGGATATGATTTGGCGTCTCAATTTGATGTCACTCGACTTTATAATGGGGTCAAAGGTTATGGTGCTTTGTATTGTGTTATGTAGCGCTTTGTAACTGTGTGTGCTATACAAATAAAGATTATTTCTATTATTAAAACATGTAAAAGAAAAAAAATTGTACACTCACAATATTTAGAGCAGATTGAGTGTGGACACCGTTGTTCTTTCATACCACTGCCAACCCCCCAACCCACTTTCCTTTTGCACTTCCTGTTTCCTGCAGGACTTCCTGTGGTTTGCCATGTTCTTTTGGCCTCGATTTTATTAACATCCTCGATCAACACGATGCTGCGCTGGCCTGATTCACTGAACTTTAACCCAACACAACCCTTCAAACATCGTGTGTATGTGTGTGGGGCATTGTTGTAGAGATGCATTGTGGGCAGCCAGCCTTTCATTCTCAGTCCTGAACTATGCAGGGAAACACGCTGAGGATGTTTAAATATAAAAGTCACTGCATCGGAGATATGTTTGGCATGTTTGGGATTTAGTGGTGAGAATTGGAGCTCTTTTTTTAACCAACTTATTTATTATTCATCAGAGTTCCTTCCTGACCTCGGAAATAGTAGTTGTGTCAAATCAATCCCGAATTAAAGCCTTTCAACCATATCACCCAGTTTTCATCAGCAGATGGAATTTAATTGTCATGGTAACTAATCGTTTGACATTTAAGCTTAGTAACTGTAATTAATTAATTAATCAATCCATAGCATTTAGAAGAAATATCTTCTGTGTTTGTATAAAGGAATAGTTTGACAATTTTGGAAATGAGGATTTTTACCAAGAGCTGGATGAGAAGATTGATACCACCGTTTTACGCCTGTCCGGAAAATAGGAAGCTTCAGCCATTTAGCTTAGCCTAGCAAAAAGACTGAAAGCCTTGGGGCTTATGTGCCGGCCTATTTCTCGGGTGGGACTAGTAACTAGAAATTAGTTAGCTTTAGTGGTGCTGTTATGTGGATGTTGTTACCTTTAGACAGAGCCCGGCGAGCTGTGTCCCCTCCCGTTTTCCAGTCTTTGTTAAGCTAAACAGCTGCTAGTGGTAGCTTCATACTTTATACTTTTCATACATCTCCTAAAATGTCGATCAGTTCCTAATAAACATTAAGCATAAACGTTCATTATTCATTCAGTTTATTTTGTTGTTTGCAATAATTGCACAAAACAAAATAAACTGTGTAATTTCTATTAATTAAAAGAGATGAAAGATGAAACTGGCACTTGCTCTCAATTTTTATTCATTTTTCTTAAATAAATATTTTATGGTGCCCAGCAGAGTGACTGGAGTGACGTTTATTTTTCATGTTGAATTGGATCCATAAGCACAGGTAGGGATTAAACAGGCTAAACGTCAGGTAAAGGAGGGCTTACAGTGGAAGAAAGATTTGTACATGTATTTTTCCTGCACACTCTTGAGTTTGTTAGTGTGTCTATCGATAGTAAAAGCAAACAGGTTTGTGTTAGTGAATGAGTGAGTGTGAGCCCCTTCGTCCAGGGGAAACCCAGGTCTAAAAACTTGATGAAAAGCATGTTTGCTGTTTTGTAAAGAGTCCTTGTAAATTATTAACATCCTACGTTCATCTTCTGGGGACTGCAGCTCATTCATCTTTTGCTGACTGGAGTTTTGTGACCGAGTGGGTGTGTCAGCAGATCTGCGTCTCCGTCTGTGCATGTACACGTGTCTCGTATGATTGTGTCTGTAGTTGAGTGTGTTTTTGAGCAGTTATGAGTAGGTTTGTCTTGTTAGACAATGTCATGGCTGTTGAGGTTTGACCTTTGCCATGCTGTTGATACTTCAGTACTTACATTGTGTTTTCGTATGTGTGTGTGTGTGTTTTGTGTGTGTGTGTGTGTGTGTGTGTGTGTCAGGGATTGAAACCAATCTGAGAGACAGTCAGGGGAGAACAGCTCTGGAGATCCTGAGAGAACATCCTGCACCGAAATCCCAGCAGATCACTGCTCTTATCCAAGGTAAGACACACACACACACACACACACACACACACACACACACACACACACACACAGATTTAGATGAATTTCACTTGAGAAATTGGGTCATTGCAGGAGCAAAAAATAAAAATCGCATGTACAGTAAATGTAGTACAATGTGTACAACATAACGGAGATTAAAAGAGCAATGTGCAGCAGTTCAACTCCTCCTAACCTCGATACAGTGACACCAGTGTGTTTTGTGTGTGACCAGTGATTGTTAGTGTGAGTTTGCTCCGCAGTCCCCAGAGACCCAAAGATTCTCCAGATTACACCTTCTATAGACAGTGTTGTCCTGAGGTGATTATGAGGCTCAGTATGAACTCTGTAATCTGTGGTTTGGAAGCCTTCACTATCTGTCCTTGTGTAATCTGTGGGTGTATGGAAGGCACGTAATTAAAGATGATTTAAAGAGAGTGAGATAAAGGCAGACACAAATGGAGGGATAGAGGGATGAGGAGAACATGTCGGAGCCTAAATTAACAGTGAGTTGGTCTTAACTACGAGGCAAAGATAGAAAAGGGAACACAGACCGAATCCCATAAATGTTACAAACTGGCCACAGCTAGAAAATAACAGATGTAAAGCTGATATTAAACCTGGGAAGACAGTGATGCAACACGCAGGGCAATCAAGTTATAATTGGGGATTCCAATTTCCCAATACATGCTTAGTGCTCAGAGAATCCGATATATCTGACAAATGGAAAATAATAAGTGGAAACCATCTGCACATAATCTGTGTTTTAACCCTTTAACTTGAAGCCCCCCCCTATTTCTCCTTAAGCAGCTAATCAATGTTTTTATGACATTGTAACAATGGATCAATGTGTTTGTGAACGTAGTTGCTTGTGGTGAAGAATCACCTGATTGATTCTGCAGGTCCTCTCTGTTCTATGGAGCATTTTAGCATCTCTCAGCTCTTTGTTTTGGTTTTACAACAAACACTGTAACTGTTTTAGTTCAGTCTTACAGCTCTCATCAAACTTGTTTCTATTAGCAGCTGTTTTCAGCAAGAAAGCTCTAAGAGCCCACTGTATTCTACCTCACAGTAGATAGACAAGGTTAGTAACTCGCTTGTGAACATAGTGGAGCATTTAGCAGCAGAGCCAGACATTTTTCTCAGGATGGCATAGAAAAACAGAATTAAAAGAACAGTGAATATTGGCCTTAAATTCATCAGGTGGCCACAAACATGACATGCAAATTAATGCTAATGTTGCTCCATGTCTGCTGGATGTGTAATGTACTAATGTAGTTTTATAGCTGGTTCTTTTATTGTTGCTTTAAGTTATGAAAAACCATCTTGGCCCACACCGTTTGTATCACATACAATATATTTTATTGAATGTATACAAAACCCTCCAATAGAAACACTCTACATGTCTTGCATACTATTTTGTACACATTTCCCCAACATTTATTTATTTTGACATGTTTTGTGTCGTTGGAAGTTACTAGAATTTAAAGTAAGTTTGGTGGGTTTGTACTTAGAAATGCAATTGATAAATAAAAAATACTGTTATACTCCTTTGTGACTTTGAATATTTGTAAATATTCATTCAAACACTGCACTTGTGAAACAAAAAAAAAAACTATTAGATGCTCAGAACAGACATGAATAGACCACTTGTAGCTTTTTTAAATGTCAGAAATCCATGTGATAGTAGATAATGATCAGGAATAGCAGCCATCAAAATCTAATCTCAGTAAAGCAGCGCTGGAAACGGGGTGATTTGGACTTTGGCATAAATAGGAGACTGAATGTGTTTGAGAGAGAGAGAGAGAGAGAGAGAGAGAGAGAGAGAGAGAGAGAGAGAGAGAGAGAGAGAGAAAGGACACAGCTGTGACTTAGTAAAAAGATCAGCTGCATGCCATTTCCTGTTGGAGAGGAGATGGAAAAGGACACACACACAAAGAGCAAAAGACCTGTCATTTACTCAATTGTTGCAGCTGAGGGGCTTCCTGGTTGCCACAGGCATCTAATTATGAATAAATTCTCATTTGATTTACAGAGCATGACTCATCCTACTGTTCGAATTCATTAACAGTTCACTTTTATACTGCCCAGCAGCCACTGGTTGTGTACTACATTGCAGTGCAGTAGTTTAGCTGTAACACTTAGACACCAGGCTGTACGTCTTCTGCCGCTTATGAAGAATCTACTGAAGTAAGAGTACAGGGGAATAAAACTGTCAAAAACATTTTAATCTTTCCCGACTCTGAGGCACATTCCCATACTCTATAACTGTATGCAAATATGGTTGTGTATCATAATTATTGAGCTGAATGCCAAGATTCATAGTAGTAGAAACACGCACACATTTTCCTGACATTAATAGGGTTCCTCATTAAGACTCTGCAGGGAATCTGCCACATGATTTCACCATTTAAGTGTGCTTGTGTGTTTTCTGCTTCTAATGCCTCCGTTAAGCAAGTTTATTATCCAGTCTTCAACTTATTTTCTGCCCCCACACCTGAACCTGCTCTCTTTCCTCCTCTTCCTCCTCCCTCCTTTCTTTCCTCTTTTTTTCCTTTTCCCACATCATCCTTCTCTTTTGCTTCTATGAATAGCAGAGTGCTCTATTAGCAGAAGCTGTGAAGTGAATTTGCGGTTCGTGGAAAAGTGCGAATTGAATGCAGCACAAGCTGTTTACCGTGCTGATGGCCATGCTATTATATTGATCCAGTAAAATGCCTCTGAAATGCTCTTCATCCCCCATTCTTCCCCACCATCACATTCTCCTTGTGGCCTGTGTGTCCTTCTCGTCTTTCTTCTCAACATATTTTCACTTTTTCCCAATTTGTCTTGCTTTTTATCTTGTCTCAACATCCATCTTCTCTCCCCTTGTCTCCATGTCTCTGTAGAATATATGATGGACGAGATTGAGAGGAGAAGCATTGTGGAGGAGCCTGTTCGCAAGTGTCCCATCCCTGCACCTCGAACTTCTGTCCCCTCGCCCTCTGCCTCCCCCTCCCTCAGACACAAGAGTGAGTAAACACACACATACACTGGTGTAACAACCACAATACAATAATTGAGTTTACTCTGAGATTCAGGGCAGTAAAAGATTGTTTTATTGTTTATATTTTAAGTAGATTTTGGGGCATTTATGTGTTTTTGTAGTAAAAATATACCTCAAAACTTAATCTGAATTATTTATTTTTACTATGTGGGCAAACAATGCAATATACTGTATATCCATCCATGGAGAGCAGCTCCTTTTAGTGGTGAAAAACAGTTACTACCATATGTGAGCAGCCATACATTTTGCCTGTCCAGCGCTGCCCCCTGTGTTATGAATATGACATTGCAAGCTTGCAACAAGCTGAGCTCCTGCTGATCCACTCTCCTCTCTCATTGACTGTCAGCAGATACCATAATTACCTCAGAGACTCTTGGAAGGCGGGGGGGCGAGAGAAAGTGATTAGCACAGTTTGCTCCTCAGAATGTGCTTGAAAGCGACTATGAATACATCAGCAATGCAGAGGCGAGACAGGGGAGGTGTTTGCAACCATTAGTTCTGTTTATCTCGTAGTGTACAGTCTGTTTTGGTGGTGCAGTCACACTTTTGCACCAGCGGTGATAGAGACTGGATTCATACTGATGCTTTAAGGAACTTTGGATGTATTTCTTACTTTTCAACCTCTCTCTTTCCCCTCTCCCCAGACGATGCTGTGACAAGTGAGCTGTCCAAACTGCTCCATGAGATCAAAAAGTGCCGAGACAGGGACTACTCCTTCGAGGAGCTCTGCCACACCATCTCCTCCCACTCCATGGATAGCTTTGGCAGTGGGCGGCTCTCTGATGAGGAGCGCCCGGATCGACCCAACGGCACTCTGACTCGAGTCAGCAAGGTACAGTGCTCAGTTATGACACAGGATGGGTACATTTGAAGAAGATTGGTGTGTTGGAGAAATGAGATATGGTGTATTATCTTTGGTCCTGGGTCTCCTCCTGTCTTCAAAGGGCTTCTTGTGAACTCCTACTTTTGAGTTAAGAAGTGACAGCTTGTCTTGCTAAATTGGGTCCAGCAACAGTAATATTATGTTGGTGGCTGTTTATGTATTAGTGATGTGGAGATAGTTTCAGGATGTTTATTAAATATGGTAAATGGACTGCATTTATATAGCACTTTTGTCCGAAGCTCTTTACAGTTTGCCTCCCATTGACCCATTCACACACGCTACAACACTGATGTCTAACAATTAATGGTTTCAGTCTCTCAAATCTAAGGATTTGATCCTTCTCTCTCTCTCTCTCTCTGTGTTATGTCATTGTAGCATATCTTTGTGTTTTTGACTGCTGTGGTCAGGACAAAATAAGCAATATGAAGAATCTGGGAACTTGACTTTTAAGCATTTTCCACTGTTTTCTGACTGATTAATTGATTCATCAATCATTAATCTCCAAACATGGTCTGGTCAGGGTGCTAATATAGTGCATGTTGGCTCACTGGAGAGGGTCATTGGTAACACCTGTGTTTGCCCTATTTCTTATCAAAAAGGCTACTGTGAAGGTCAAGGTAAAACTCTTACTTGTGTGTTCAGAAAAAAGTTTTAATACTTTGAGCACCACTTGATGAAGAAGGTGAACTATTTTGTACCTTTTTATGAAAGAGATGGTGCAAACATTCATATATATTGCTCTCATTTACCAGTACTTCAGAAAACATAGGCAAGTAATCTTAACATACCTGTACAAAAACAACTTAATCTTTTGGTATGTTATCAGCACCATGCATAAGCTCAGCTGCTGCATTCATCCTTGCATCTGATATGTACTTTGTAGACTCAAAACCCACATAGACCACCTATCCCTGCTGTGTGAAGTGCATGAAAGCAGGCCTCTTTCTGTTAACCTAAAAGCATTTCCCTATACATTAATTTTCCATGTCTTTTTTAGGTTTGCTCATACTACAACTGCTCCAGAAGTACACGATGTGTGTAAGGGACTGGTCATTATTGCTTGTACTTTGTCTATTCTGACAACAGAGGGCAGTGTCAGATAGATAGATGCCACTAAGCTGGCTTGCTCCATTGAGTATTCACTTGTTGTTGGTGACACACAACAGCTTCTGTTTGTTGTTTGCCAGAATTTGTTTAGAATTGTAATTATTATTTGTGTTCAAACAGCCATTCACAGCCTGCAGACATTGTTTTTCTTGACCTTTTGTCTTCTATTTGAGGCCTTTTTATACTGAAATATTGTTATTAGTATCTGTTCCCTCGTTTTCTCTCTCTCCACACTCCCTTATTCACACACGCAGAGGAAAACTGATTAGACCTTATTGGTTTGAATTCCAGATTAGGGATGAAATAGGTGGCTTTTATCAGTGTTTACTGACCAGAGAATCACAGCTGCAGTTTATTTCTAACAGCCTTCGCAGCGTGACAAAGAGGCTATGAGCTTTTTCAATTCCACCGGCTAGGAAGTCAGACGCACTGCAGGACACAGAGGTCATCTATCACACTGACCCCCCACCTGAGCCTTTATACCACACACACACACACACACACACACACACACCCGCACACAAAGAAGCATCCAAACAAATGCCTATATCTGTGCTTCTCGCTTGCTTGTCACGGCATGTCTGTTTCTATTTTTCTTTCTCTTTCTCTCCTCCTCGCTCACCTACATACAGCAATGCACACATCTCAGTGAGGGAATATTGTGACGCTGATCAATAGCTCATCTTCACCATGTCTGTAATAAGCTCCATATGAAAGCAAGCTGAGGCATGTTTTTGCACAGTGTAGCAGGCGTAGCAAACCTGCTGAGGCTTACACACATGTGCACGTATGCTGAACACACACCACCTCTCACTTAGACTGTAATTATCTCAATCCATCTTGTGTCCCTCTCTTTCTCTCCAAGTACCAATTTGTATTCCATTACTGACATTCGCTGTGTGTGTGTGTGTGTGTGTGTGTGTGTGTGTCTGTGTCTGTGTTTATGTGTCCCCAGGCTACTATTTGTACATGTGGCCGGAGCCATTAGTATGCGATTCGATGTGTCTATTAGGCATGAATAAAACATGCAGAAACCTATGACAGCACGCACACGTACACGCACAGGAAGATCGCAAGGCAGGCTTCCCACATCACCTTGGTGCCTATTGTGTGTAAACCGAGCAATACATGTTCTGTATTCAGATGAGTACTTCCATTATGTGTGTTCATCCGGCTTAAACCAATATGTGTCTCTGAAAGATAATTCCACTGTTTCAATGACACTGGAAATCTTTTCTGCTGATATTTATACCGTATCTTTGAATTTAACCATGTCACAATAAATAAAAAAACTGCTGCTACACAAGATTATTTTCAAAATTTAGCGTATTGAGTAGACGATGTCAAGAAATAGATTATTACCAATCACAATGTCCCTGAACCTTGATCCCTGACCTCTTCAAATGCCAATCAATTATCCAGTATCTCATATTTGAGAAGCTAATACCAGAGCATATTTGGCATTTTTGCTTATTGGTCAATTTTCACTTGATTGATCACAAACATTTACTGTTGCCTTTGCAGGTTAGAAATGTCTCTGAAGCGGTGAAGACACCGAAGAACAAAATGTACTCATATATTTGGTTAAAATGTTTGAGGCTCATTATTTATTTTTTTTAAACGAATTATTTTTTTTTTTAATATTAAAACATGAAAATGTGATTTTAATTATTCTTTTCATTTATATACTTTTGTATGCCTTAATTGGATAGTGACAGGCGAATATAGACAGGAAAGACAGCTCAATACATGGGACAAACACCCTACCAGTTGAGCTATTGAGGTGCCCAAAAATGGGATTTAGCAAAAATCTATAACTGGAAACTGAGCTGTGTTTTCACGAGAGAATTATGTTTACAGTAAACTGTGGCTAACAGTGTGTTCTGGCACCAGGGAAACTTTTGAATGTGTGGGGACATAAATCTGGGTGAAAATTTGTTTAGATTGATCTGCAAAATTGTACTTTTCATAGTCAGTTCGGGTCACAGAATGAATCAGATGTTTGGTTTCCTCTGTCAAATGAAGCCAATTCTTAACAAGCCTTCAAAATTAAAAGAAACACCCTTATGCAGTTAAGTAAGAGAAATTCCCAAAATAGTAATCTACCCCTTTAAGGATTTCCCACACACAACCAATGTAATATTGATCAGTAATGCAGTCTTCAGTGATGAATAATTAATGGTGTCCTTTCTATTGAACCCTGCCTGATATCTGATTTTTACTGTAATGAAAGGATATATCTGTCTTATTGTTCATGCATACAATGCAGTATGTGAGGACTGCAGTCCGTTTTACATCAATCAATATTCCGGTGTTGTAGAGGGCCCTTAGCAATCTGGAGCGATTGGTGACCTTTTGGTTTCAGCCTCAATTTCCTCCTCCGTCTCCAGTCTCGCTGCTTCTTTTGCTCTTCCCATCTGTCCGTCCCTTCCGCTGTATCTTCTCTAAATGTAACTCGTCACAATTTTATTCTTACTTAAGCTGTTTCCTCAAACACTTTGTCATTTCTTTGACATGACCTCCAAGTTCCCCTCTTAATCTTCTCCCTCTTGACCTCGTTTTGTTTACCCTCTCTAAAGCTTTGTTCTTAATTTGATTTTTCTTCACCCATCGTCATCATACCTTCCTCGGCTCTCTTCCTCTCTTTTTTCTCTCTCCTATTGTCACCTTTAAAAGCTACATATAAGACACTGCTGTGATTTCTGTCTACGTAATCTGCATTGACCTGCGTCCTCTGCTGCATTATATGGTTCACTGAGATATCAGGTGTGCTGTATCTGCCCTCTGACATCTCAAGCCACAGAGCTCATCCACACACCTGCCTCCTGGGAACCAAAGTGCCCCAGGAAAGGACAATGTGTGCATGAGTGTGTGTGTTAAAAGTTGTTCTGCTGTTCCTGCACCTTTTCTCCTTTCTGGTTAACTCATTGTGGCAACTAGAGCAGCAGTGCAAAGGCTTGTCCAATTTAAATGGTGGGTTACTTCTTAAAATCAGCATTATGGGTGTGTATCTCTGTATTCTGTCTCCAACTCCTCACAGAAACATCTCACTTTTAAACTGCTAAATATTCCACTGTGTTCACCAGCTAGATGCAAACTTTGTCTGTCATTTGGTGCTCGGTAGTAAGCCTACAGTGGGTTCATCTGAGCTTAAAACTGCTGACTGCTGCAACTAGAAACATTACTATTGGAGTAGTGAGACTGAACTAAAACAATAAAGTTGTGAGCCCGAAAACCCCCCCAAAAAATGAACTGAAAGACTCGTCTGTAGAGTTGAGGATAACAGCTTAGTTGGGTGATAAATCTCTTTCAGTGACCCCTTTGACATCACACGTTCATTCGATCCATTGTTAATGTAAAAATATTGATTATATTTTACATATATTATTATTGATTTGATTCTTTTAAAGAACTCCTACTCCTCTTCTCACCCTGTATAAATAAACATCTCATCTCTCCTTTCAGCTCTTTGTTTCATTTCCCACTTTGTCACAGATCAGGTTTCTCTGGAGACACAGATCTTCTGACCTTTGACTCGCTTACTATTTGTTACTTCTAATCTGGTAATCTAATTTTCTTTTTTTAATATACTTATACAGCGGCCGACCCCTCCTCTCCCTCCGGCCCTGGAGGAGGATGAGGCAGAAAAGGGCTGTGGCCCCACTGGATTCTGGGAGGCCTTGACACCCTGCAACGGCTGCCGCAATCTGGGCTTTTCCAGCTTGTCACAGGTACGCACACAGAGCATGAATGAGCCTACTCCAACTAGACCACTCTCCCTTAAATTACAGCGAATATTCTCACTGCTGATTTTCATTATATTGTATTTTACAGTGTGCACATAATTGCACTTATGTAGAACACTCATCATATCACTTCATAATCAACATATAAGTTTATCACATGGTGTGGAATAATGCAGCATGCACACACGCTGCTTCAGTACAGAGAAATTACAGGCTAGTAATATTGCCATTGTTCTTAGTGAATACTTTCACTGGTTACCTTGGGAACGCAATGAATGAGCCGTCACTAGAGAGACTGGCTCTCCTGGCAGCTCTGGATACTGTTTAGTATCCATCTCTTTCTTGCTCTCATGCTTGGTTCTGTCTATCTTTCATCTTCACCTTCTTCTCTCCTTAATAGAATTTTCCCCCAAAAAATCACCTTATCTCCCTACTTTTTAAGCTTTTCCCTCTTATGAATAGGACTTGGTTAATCAACTTTAAACGAATAACATTCAACTGAAATATCTCCTACAGTGAGATCACATGAAAGGATAATCGTCCCTGAGGGGGAAATGTGAATATTGCAGCAGCAAAGGAATGCCGAATAGAATATAAATGTGACTTTTAGCGTTTGACTGATATTGTAGTTCTTACAGGACCAAGACTAGCATTTATAATTCTGTCAGAAAAGGAATGTAAACCAATTTAATGTACACACTATTCTGAGAGTTGATATCTGGTATCTAATCTCTTACATTCTCCATATTAGGAAGGGTCAGGGTACAGTATTAGGAGGAACATATTAATGAACTTAAGGCCTACAGCTGAAAGGATTTGTACATACAATCTACCCATTTAAGTACATTTTAAATGGAAAATATTAATACATTGTGCAGTTATTCTTTCTTTCCTCCAGTATATATTTGTTTCTGTAGTACAAAGCATTACTTAGTTTAAAATTGGCTGTTGAGGAGAATTGTGGGATTTTACAGTCTATCACCTGTCACCTGAACTGGCTGCTTAACATAAATAGAAATTACAGAGAAACTCCATACAGGAAAAGTTAGTTCAGCAACTTCACTTCAACATCTTGTGCATCTCTCATAACACTCTCAGTTCCAGTGTGTTAAGTATCCTGTTTTACTTTTCAACCAAACTCTACAAAAAAAAGCTTAATCCACATTCCCCTCCACTTCCTTGTAGTCATGCTCCATCTTTTCTTCTTCCATCCTTCCTCTCTCTCCCCCCGCACCCTCACACCCCCACACCAAGCCCTTCATGTTGCCTATATAAATGTGGTTAAGTGTGTGCAGATGCGTGCTGGCTCAAACAGCAGGACACCTGACATTTACAACACAGCAGACCCTCTGTCTTGTATACTGGCAGCCTGCCTGAATGACTGGCATGCTGCCTGGAGAGGTTTGCACCTGGATCAGTGTGTGTGAGTGTGTGTGAGTGTGTGTGAGTGTGTGTGTGTGTGTGAGAGTGTGTGTGTCTGTCTGTCTAATGTTGTTGCATTGAAAAGAAATGTGCATGTTATTTTAGATGTGAGCATGAGGGTATATGGAGCATATTTGGTGGCATCGGCTTTGGTATGTGTGTGCAAATGTGTGCCTGAATTTGGCATGGCATCATTTAGAAATTGCGTGGGAGGGTTTGTGTGTGTGGGTTTTATAGAAGAGGATAGAGGGAACACAGCGAGTGAGGAAAGAGAGATGCAGTTGCATAATTAAGTTAGCCCTGTGCTAATTTGCGCTGTGTAATTGTGAATAAACAGAGTTAACAAAGAGAGAAGCCTGTGCATCCCGTCTAACGATGAATGGACAAAGTGAAGCATTTTCGTGCTGCAGTCTCTCCCATCGTTTCCATCTCATCCCTTCTTCTTATATTCCCACATGAGATCTCTCAACCTAATTCCTTTTTAGTTTGTTTTCTATCTTCCCTGTCTATCCCATGTTCATCTCTCTCTCCTTCTCTCTCTCTCTCTCTCTCTCTCTCTCTCTGCCTCATTTATCTTCACTTTATATTTCAGCAGAAGTATGTTAACCTTTGTATCGATTGTCTGGGCAGCCAGTATTCTGGTTGTCCAGCTGTCACTCAAAACCGTCAGTCAGAGCACAGAAGTTGTCTAACAAATCTAGTGAGAGAAAAGAACCATGTTTTGAAAACTTCAGCTAACCAAACTTTAGAGCCACTGCATAAAACTCTGAAGTTCTCTGATCGAATTTTGTATCATTTAAAAAGAAAAATCATGTAAAGCCAAATGGATTTCTGTCGCTGACATGGTATTAATGCCATCATTATCGACCCCTACTCTTTCTTAGCATATTATATATATTGTTTAATTTGTAAATAACCTATTTAAAGGCCACCAAACTGTATTTTCCAGCTCTTTAGCTGATAGCTGCTGTTAGTGTTGGGAAGATTGCATACAGTCGGTGTTTAGTGCTGGTTTGCATTGTATTTTATTTGTTACAATGATGTTGTTATGCATTGGGTAACAGCATCACTAGCTACATCCTCCTTAATGAGATTGAATCAACACCTCCCTTCAGTAATTACAACAAAAACAGAATAATGTAACTTTCATGATGGTGGTATTAATTGCAGAAATGTGGCATTAGTTTTAACCAGGTGTAGCATTTGAGTGTTTATATTGCGTATGTCTGCGTAAGTGTTCACATGTCTAAGCAGGTGCATGCACAAATTATATGAATGTGATTGGTAGTGATTGTTTCATTGTGTGTGTGTGTGTGTGTGTGTGTGTGTGTGTGTGTGTGTGTGTGTGTGTGTGTGTGTGTGTGTGTGCGTGTGCATGCAGAGTACACGTGTCAGAGACTGTACTTTGTACTAGATTAGCCAGAAAAACAGAGTGCACTCTGTTCCAAGCTAATTCATTTAACATGTCATTACTGTCTGTCACATGTTTGTGTTTGTGTGTGTGTTTGTGTGTGTGCGTGCAGCCATACGTGCCTGCATAAGGAAGCCTCCCTTGTTGTGAATTTTTCGTCACCAGCCACAGGTTTCCGCCTACCATCGCCATGTGAACACCGACTGACGCCAGAGTGTGCGTGGAGGAGGTTTCCTCTGTGATGTTGACTTTAACAGAAACATTTAGACCTCACTTGTGGAAACCTTGAAAGCAAAATAGGGAAAACGAAAAAAGGGAGAAAGATAATGAACGAACGCAAGACACAGATTCAGATGCAGAGAGGTCGGCAGGGTTGCCAGGCAACCCAGAAATTCATGAGGTATCAGGCGTGGGATGTCCACCATTGACAAATCTCAGTCGCCATCAACACAGGTGCGTCAGTGCTGCGTGCATAGACACACACACACACACACACACACACACACACACACACACACACACACACACACACACACACACACACACACACACACACACACACGTCAGCGTGTCCCAGCTGCATATTTGAGCTTCATTCTTTTCTTTCCACCACCTTTTCTTCTTCCTTGCTGTTTTTCTTCTTCTGTCCACAGCTGAGACTTCCCCATTACATTTCTCTTTCTCCAGCTTCTTTTTCCCTCCCCCAGGGGGGTTGGCTGCTGACCTTTTAATGTTCTCAGCCCAGGGAGTTTTAAGGAGGTGGGGTGGGGTTGGTCTATGTCGCACTGGCAGAGGTTAAGATCAGAAACCCATAAGGGCTCTCGAAGATGTTGAGGAACATCAAAGGAAGGTGTTTCAGAGAGAACGGAGATTATGTGGAGAGCTTTATAAGCCTGTAAATGAAGGACGTTATGTGCTCTGTGGGACATTGGGTGAGGTTATCGATTTTATGTATTAAACAGTTTGGGATTATAAATTTGCAAATTGCATAACCGTTTTATGTAATACTTAATTTGAATAGTTTAATACTATAGAGAGTTTGACTGTAATAATAATAATGCCATGATATTGTATAATAATTGAACTAGCTTGAGCTTCTCATCTAGCTCTCGGCAATGAAGTGAATAAGTGTATAATTTCCCCAAATTCAAACTATTTAAAAGTTGAAGGCATTTAATGTGCAACAAGAGTAAAGTTTCAAGATTCTATCAAATGAGCACCCACTCCTGGAAAACCTCAACTTCATGGAAATCACTTCCTCCTTCATTCATTTGCTACTCCCTATATAATATAATGGACACAGTAAAAGATTTATTATTTTGGATTACCACTGACACTGTCTACCCGTGACCAAGTGTGAACCTGTAGTTTCACTACTACAAGTACTGTTTTGAAGCCTTGAGTTGTTGTATTTTTGCAGCCAGCAGTGGTGATGTACTGCGAGTTGGAATGCACTCATTGCCTGGTCACACACTTTGTTGTACTACAGATGAACAGTACACTAAAGTAGGTTTCTGAAAACATTTTAAGAGAGAAATGGGCAATGCGGTATCAGAATGTTGATTCATACTTGTTCAGCATTGCCTAGTTTACTCACTGAGAATCACAATGCATACCCTGTTTTATCCTCTATTTTACTCTAAATGGCACCATAATTTACAAAATGAACATCATGCTGTATGGAAGAAGACTTGAAACTATCAATTGAGACCATAACATTAGTAGGAAACTGCATTGAGCCAATAAATCAAGTGACAAGTAGGGTTTTTTTTGCCATTACATTAAATGCAACCAGGATTCTTTTTTACCAATATAATCCAGGCCATTAAAAAGAATGCAAGTTTAAGGTAATTCCACATTAATTATATACTGCCATGCCATGCCATGTAGGTTAAGTGCAAGTTTGTTTAATTTGTCTCACCTACACTCCCCTCCAGCTGACTGAGATGAAAAGGAGCATTTCTGATCAGTCTTTTAAACAATACATACATGTTGACACTATTTTTGCTTACAAAAAGGATGCTAAAATGGGATTTTAGTCATTGATCCCTCACTGTTAAACCCAAAATACTGATTCATATGTCTTTTGTTAGGTGGATTTCTATTCAATTTTCAATAGATTATTCATTGTATTTGCTGAAAACAAAAACAA